ACTAAGTTAAATTAGCCTGGTACCCAGACAAAGAGGAGCAAATCATTCAATGGACAATGTGCTCATATGCCAATAAAAAGCCTACTGAACACACACAAAAGGGGCCATCTTAAATTAGTGTCTACTGGAGGTGGCTGTGGCACATCAACTACCAAATACCTTTATGGTTATGAACTTTCAGATGCTCCACATTTGGGGACATATTTATCTTCTTAAATAAAACATGTTTCTGGCCCCTTAATTGCCAGCTGTAACTGACAACTTTACCATCTCAGAGCACTTTTTTTCCCTCTCATACCTCATTGCTGAAAGTAGTTAGACAATAATTAACGGTGTTTCAAGTGTACGATATCTTAGGAAGAACTCTGATCATAAATAAGACCAGTGGGTGCTTTGGTGACCTTGCACGTGGTCAGCACTAGTTGGGAATTTTGTGGTGAAAATACTCACTGAAATCAAACTTTATGCATTTCTATATATGTTTCAGTTAATTTCTGTCAAAATACAGCCAAAGCCTCCCATGGAGAACCTTTATTATTCCCTTCCAGCTCACCCAGCAGGAAGGTATCCTACTGCAACAATCTACAGCTCCAGACACAGCCATGAGATGGTTCCCTTCATCTCATAACAACCTTCTCCATGGGGCAAGTACAGTATTTCGGTTCCAGACTCCACAAAATCGTAGATGAAAACCTCTTGAGAAAGGTTATTTCAGCTGGTGTTTTCAATGTCCCTTATCATTCAAGACATTTCATAGAGAGCTGGCAAACTTCATGGAGCCAGGAGAGTCGATCTTGAGGTACAGGTGATGTACTAGGCATTGGACAAGGAATTTGGTACCTCACCTGGAAAATAGTGTCTTCTTCTGGTCACCTATGTTCAAGAAAGATCAACTCAGGACAAGAAGGAAGGAAGGGAACTATTTAAAATTAGACCTTATTGGCAAGAGAACAAATTGGGATGAAAATTACCATTAACAGCACCATCAAAATGAGGTGCTAGGGTAGTCTTTTAGCAAGAGTAATAAGGAAAAGAAATTAAACTGGTTCTACTGGACTTTGTTCAGTTAGTTTGTGAAAGGAAATATGTGGAGTAGTTGCCAATGAAAATAGAAGACTGGACTTGAGGACCTTCCAATCCCATGTTCCTAATTGCATTTCAGAATTTCCAAACAAAATGTTTACATTATTCTGAAGGGCTGAGGTTTTGGCAGGCTTGGCCTTTTTATATGATTTTTCCACTTCCAAAGTAAGTTTCAGTTATATACTCTATCTATCATCTATCTATCTATCTATCTATCTATCTATCTATCTATCTATCTATCTATCTATCTATCTGTCTATCTACCTATCTACCTATCTCAGATTTCACATTCATTAGTGTTTTGACAAGGTACACTTCAAACTCACTAGTAAGTTAGATCAAAAGGAAGCTGAGGAAAGGACCACAGTGGCCAACACAACCTGCCACTGGCCTCAGAACTACTGATGTAGTTGGGAAAACTGCTAGATTTTCAGGAGAAATCTTTCTTTGGGTCAAGAACAAAAGTGACATATTTCAAACTAAGTGCAAGCTGCAAAAAATCACTTCAGTTTTAATTAGCCCTCTATTTGGACAGAGAGAAAAGGGTAATAACACTTATGAAGCAGAGGAGAAACTTAAGAAGAGGCCAGGTGAAATACTTTGCAGTGTCTGTAGGATGGCAGTGAGAATGGGACAAACAGCTAAACAGGCAGTGGAGTATGAGACAAGGTTCTTCTGGTATGACGTGTACAACCTGGTCAAGGTGAAGCATGGGTCTCTCCTTTGGTGAAGCCATGTCATGAGCAGTCTTGAGCTAAGAAATAGGGCAACACACTACCTTGATGTTGGTGTTTGGCAATCTCACAAAAAACTTGTGTTTTCTTACATTGATCATGCAGTCTCGCATCCTCTACCCTGAAAATTAAATTGGAGAAAATAATTTCTATCTCCTTCTATTCCAATCTTATACATAGACTTTATGAATTTAATACTGAGCAGGTATTCTGACCCTTTACTGGGTAATTCCTTTATTCCCAGCTACCTATTCTGTGTCATTCTTCTGAAATCTACACAGCAAAATACATAAATCGGAACTTTAGCTAGCAGCCTGATAACGGTAAGGGGGCAGATTGTGCCCAGTTCTCAAGTGTTCCATTTCCACTGAGCAACTGATGCAGGACAGGATATATCTTGTCTATGAAGTGGTCTCTTTGCTGGATAAAGTGATCGCTTTTTTACTTTTTCCTTTTCTCTTCCTGAACGTAACATGGAGCAACATCATTAGGATTGAATTACACAGCTCTCAGGTAGCAAACCTGGAGGAATACTGTTTAAATGACAGAAATTGCTGTACATTACCACTTATGCAGATTAGAGCAAAGTTTGTCTCATGATGTGTGTCCTTCAGCTTCAACGGAGCCTGTCTGAGTCCCTTCTCACTTGTGTCAGTATAAATCTAGAATAATTTCATGAAAGTCAATACATCATACCTGAATACATGTCTGCAGCATGGACATCTCTGCTCAGGGCTACTACTTCATTAATTTTGGATTCTTTACAGCTGTTGAACTGCTGGTTAACTAACAAAAACATTGTGCATCTAGAAGTCCAGGCATTAAAACAACACTGACTACACCAAAAGCAATGAAGAAACGAACTGGAAATCCATGAATTAATCCTTTCCGACACTCACAGGAAATTATAGCACAGCTAAGACATGAAAAAATAATTTCCACTGCTCTTTTGTTAAGATGATTCATTTCCCCATTATCATGCTTTACTTCTGTCAAAACCACTTGCAAATAAAATCTCCATTTGCAGTCATTTAAAACATTGAAATCTTGGATGTGCAGGAAGGAGCAGTCATATGATTTTAAATCCATTTGCGCATTTGAATCTTCACAAAATAGATGATTTTCTTGTATTTTAATTCTGGTAGCAAGCCAGCTGAGGCCAGAGGACCAAAGATCCACTTTGCATCTCTAATGACTGTCACAGCACCCTCCTTAGTCATTCTGCGACTCAATTATCTAGTGTGTTATGGGCAACCAAAATTTTATTCAACTTAAGACATCTTGCCTAGGACTGCTCAGGTCAGTATCCACCCCATCAGACCCAAAAGGCATGAGGAAAAGTCACTTACCTCTTTCGCATGGGGTGTTTCATTACTATATGGAAAAGATCTAGCAGAAGAGCTCCCATTACATCCGACCCTGAGATCAGGCCAGTGGCCAGCATAGGAAGCCAAAATGTCAGAGTAGCTCCAGTCCTATGCAGGAGCCAGGCTGACCAGCATGAGCTGGGTTTTCCATGGTAAAAGAACATCTTCCTTGAATTTTGATCTAGTTTTGGTGTAGTTCTTCCCTTCTTGGTGAAACTGGAAGAAACAAATCTGTAAAAGGTTGGATTTGTTTTCTAAATCAAAGCTGCTTTGTCACAGGAGTCCTATGAGGTTCTTAAAAACCACTTAAGGGGAATGAAACACACAAAATCCTGCAATGTAGACACTGCTGGTCTCTGCTCACCAAAAAGGAAAAGGCGAGCATCTCCACAGAGGGCAGTGTCAGCCCATCAATCCTCCTTCCCCAGCAGGAGACAGCCACTGCCTGCTTCCAAAGCTCCTATGTAACAAAAAGGATTAGTACATCTACAAGTTCCTGGTTATTATTTTAGCTGCTGCTGCACTAAAGCTTCCACTAATCTCCAAAAGCAAACTGTGTATTGCATTCCTCTTGGCATCCTCCTCCTGCTTCTGCCCACCAATGTCTGCTTTTCCCTGAAGAAAGATTTCCTGACTGAGAACATTTATTTTTACTTTAAAGGGTGCTACCCTACATGCCAGGACCCACATCTACTTGGAGCCCTCCTAATGCCTTTGGCTTTGTAGCACATAAAGCTGTGCTCTTCCACCAGTACAGACGTGCTCTGAGTTTGGTCCTACCTCTGACCAGCCTGTTCTTAGATATTTAGCTGACAGCCTAACACAGAAGAAACAGACTTCCTTTATGGCTGATGAACACTGAAACATTTACATGAAGGGTCACCACAAAAATCAGAGAAGAGACCATGATGAGAAGAGGGAGAGTCTGAAATTTTCGGGTTCTTTTTTGTTTGTTTGTTTTGTCTTAGAATGAATCATAGAATCACAGCCTGGTTTGTGTAGGAAGGGACCTTAAAGCTCATCCAGTTCCAACTCCCTGCCATGGGCAGGGACACCTTCCACCAGAGCAGCTTGCTCCAAGCCCCATCCAACCTGGCCTTGGAACACTGCCAGGGATGGGGCAGCCACAGCTTCTCTCAGCATCCTTTGCCAGTGCCCCACCACTCTCATAGAGAAAGATTCAGGTTAGTTCATATTTTGCCACAGAAGATTCGCCCATCCTCAAACTGGTGGGAAAACCTTAACGGGACCTCTAACAAGTATTAGAAATACAAAGAGGTCTCCACAGCCATAGAAATCAATGCAGGTTTTTGTTTGCTGCTTCTGTCCAGCTTCTACTCCCTTTGACAAAGTAAGACATGGGGATGTACAGGGAAAATCTTTCAAACATGTTATTTAGCTACTCACGGAATATAAATCCTTGCAGAAAAAAATACGTTAAGGTGAATAATTTGACTTTTGTCCTAAATCCTACAGATTAAAACAGAACTTAAGTTACACAGGTTGACACTCCTATCAAAGGGCAGTATCACCACCACATAGGGTTTTATCTGATATTGATAGAGCGATAGTGTTGAAATACAAATAATTCCCACTGCTATTATTCTATTTCCATGGTTTCACAATATTGTAGTCAGGCAAGTTATACTGGTAGTCTCCAAATAGCTTGACTTTATACAACTCATAGAATCACGAGATGCCCATTATCACACACTGATAAACGCATGCACATACCATTTAATTCAATCATACAGTAGAAAATGTCTCACCTGATTAATGAACAAGGACAATAAGTGACAAAATTATATTATTAGGATAATTTTTGCAGCCACTTTTTATTCCAAAAAGTTGTATTCTTGTAAACCTGACATTTCCAAAACAGTGCAAGTGAATTAGAATACAGGTGAACACGAGCTTCTAAATACAGGTGACATCAATAGGAGTGAGCACATTCTTCCAACCACAAGTTCACAAAAAGAAACATACAATTTTACAATACATAAGGAGTGACATTCTAAGAAAAAGGAGTGACAATGGTGTGGGTACCCTATGTGTATGCAAATCATGCTCCAAAAGCAATTACAGTCTTCATGCCAGTTTAATCAATATACACTACATGAACCAAATCCTACTTTCATTTATGTCCAACAAACCCTAGCAAGTGGATGAACTTGGGCAAAGGTAGAAATTAGTTCCATGACTCCCTTAACCCTTTAGTGAAAGCAATATTATATATTCCCGTGCCACATGGATACTATGCTGGAAATTTGTGCAAGACTCCAAAATCTGCCCATAAACACAAGGCACTCAAGAAAATTGATAGTAAGTATTGCCAAACACAGTCTTTGCACAACCACTGCTTTCAGCAAAGTTACCTGTGCGTCACTGACTTGTATGTAGGGTCCTTCCCATTCATGTATCAAGGTGGAGAGGTTTGTCCTCACTGGTATGCTAGGCATTGCAAAAGCCTTTGCCACTTTGAGATGAAAGTGGATTACAGGCTTGGGGTTCACATCAAGCACAATTTCTCTCTCAGTTAATCCAAATGATTTGTAAGGTGACTTCAATTCAGAGGCTGCTCAAGTGTTTTCTACAGTTTGCCGATTTCCTCATTGTAACAGAGCAAATTAAAAAACTAGGTTTGTTCAGAAAAACAGCTAGTATTTTTGTTAGCTACAATGGCCAAGTAGGGTGAGAGCCTCAGCCATGCTGTTCTGTGGGTGAACTGATAGAAATTCACAAGGGCGGATGCTTGGCTTTCAAATGAAATGGTCACAAAACATGCTGTGCAAAGGGGCAAGTGCTTTCACCTCTTGAGAACTGAAATTCATCCCTGTGCTGTGGGCCACCAGAACTCTGAAATGGCTATGATCTTCTTGATGTCAAGATGAAATTAAATGGGGTTGCCACAGCACGGGCTCTGCAGTAAGTGAATTTTAATTTAATTTCCCCCCTCCCTTTCTTCCTAACCATATTTCTCTGAGATAGATTGTTTTCTTCCTACCCTAAAAGCAACTTCATGGGTACTCTACATAAGAAGACAACCTGCACATTGCTAGCTCCAGGGCTTAAACAAAAGATCTCTTGGATGTCAGGTGAGGCATTTGAAAACATTACTGCCCCCCTTTAAAGCTTCCACCTGCATAGCTTGGAGCCAGTGCAAAGCGAGCCTGCTGCCGAAAAGAATCATATGAGAATTCAGCAAACCTTTCCATGAAGTTGTTCCAAGACAACTCATGACTTTGTCCTGAAATGGATTAACTGGAGAGAACTGGTACAATGACTTTCTCCCAGCTCTGTGGCACAAGTGGTACAGCACAAAGGAACTAACAAGCAGCTGACAAAAGGGAACTTCCAGAGCTCTAGAAGCAATTTCCAAAATAACCATGTCTCTAGATTTTGATACAATACCATTTATTGTGATTTCTTAATTTGAAAATCCCATCAGCTCTATAGCACAGCTATTTTCTACACATTCTTGAACTATATTACATTTCCATAAGATTTTAGGGTTAGAAGATGATTGCAACCAACTGATATTAGAGTTTGGTGGTTTTTTGTTTGTATTGTTCAGTTGCTTTTTAAGGAGTGGAAAGGTGCATCTACAGGATTTTAATACTAAGTACTGCTATGTCTCATGGTCTAATCTGACTATCCTAACTGGAACCAAGCAAGAGCCACAATGGAATTTGACACACACACAAAAATAATTAAGAGTATACATATAAAAACAAAAGCATCTGTGACAGCAGAACTACCGAGCATCTAACAGTGGCAGTACTAAGAGTGTACGGGTTATTTCAAGAATATGTCAGTAATCTGGCCAACAACTAGATTTTCACTGAGTGATGGCTTGTGCTGGATCAATAGCAGACAATTCAAGTCAGAGATCAAAAAAGTCCAGTGCAGGCTCAATCAAATGGGATTTAATTTTTAATCATTTTTAACTTTAACCAAATAAGAATAAATTCTTTGCCTTGAGCCAAAAAAAAAAACCAAAACAACCCACAAAAAAAAAACAAACACCACCACTTAAAAATGCTTCCAACACAATATAAAATGCTAAATGGGTATTTATTTTTTCCAGCTCTTTTCTTCATATACTTTAAAAAGGTGTTTCAAAGGAATAACTAATCTTGAGTTTTAAAATACTGTCATCAAACATTTTTAGCAGATCTGAAAGCAATGTTTCCTAAGGGAACTTCCTCCTTCTTTTTGGATGGAGACTTTCCAATTAAGTTGAATTCACAAATTTCACTTGTTCCCTGAACTATATTTTCAGCAAATTTATTTCTTTATCATTTTGAGGGGGGTCAGTTTTAGAAAGGGCAGGTACTGAAATGTCTTACAGCTGAATAAATGGACTTCTTTTTTCAGCAAATACTTTAAGAAACGTCTTACTCAATTCACGGCTGTGAATCATTCTCATGTTCAACTTCTATTTGTCTTAGGTATTTCTCAGCAACAGAAAAAATAGATACGTTAGGTTGAAATACTAGCAAAACTAACTGGTGCCAAATATCATACTGTGAAGAATTCACTAGCCTCGAATACAACAGTGCAGTCAAAGGCCATCAGCCTTTTGTTTTTGCACTCTGATGAAAAATCTCCAGTCCACTATATGTGGTTACAACAGGATTTCACCTCAGCAGGTTTCTTTTCAGATTCTGGCTTAAGTGATCATTTGTTATATGAAATATGCCAGATCACCAATGATTGTTTTAAGAAAAATAACTGAATAGACTAATAGCTTTTCTTGTCAAATGTTGAATCAATACACTTCATTCACTTAAAAACCATCTTCTGCCTAATGGGTGCAGGTAGTTAAGTTAATAAATATTGATTGATACTATTGTAATAGCAGGCACTTAATGGCAGTGAAGGAAAAAGGCAAACAGCAATATGGATGTAGTTAATTTCTTTAAATTTAAAGCGATAATGAATTTGGCAAGGAAGAGCAACAATAAGACCTGTTCTCAAGCAGATTTGTTGCATGTTCTCTGCATTCAAGTTTCCAAACTTCCAGCAGTTCTTTTACCTTACTCTCATGGAAGGAGAAATCCTGCAACCATCATTCCTGGTTCTCCTTCACCTTCTACCACAGAGCTTAACTTCTTTCCTTTACATGGATTTTATACCAACATTTACTTCTTATTTACACAAGGTGCAAAGTACAAGTAGAATCTAAACCCAAGTCTTACACAATTCCACTATTTCTATTTAGAAATCCACAAGTTTTTTGAAGGAACATGGTTGAATCAATTGCAACTAGATTTGCTCTAATTCAGCAAATGATTTGCTAAGGAATTACCAGCGAATAAAATGGCAATCTATCTGAAATCCAGTAACATCTGCACCTTGACTAAACTTCCTTCTTAATGCTTGAGGAAGGATGACATTCAGTACTTCAAACACTCAAGCAGGGAATCTCAAAATCCAAACATTTTAACCCTTGTATCTACTTATGCCTCTTAAAATTATCACATAAACAAACTCATGACTCGTGTATAAAACCCACAAGGCAGGAATAATGCACATAGCTTGTAGCATTAAATCACTTGCTCTGATAGCAACGGATCATAGCCATTAACAGTAGCTTAAAAACTATCCTTCTTAACATTAATATTAATATGGCTCCATTATTATTCTTATTATTTTTAATTCCAAGGAATTTGTCAATGCCACAGTGGTTGGCCCAGTTACATCCTTCTGGTATCTCAATTGTACAGTCCTAGACCATTATCAAAGTACTAAAGACTGCAAGAGAAAACTTCCCAAAGGAAAACATTCTGTGATGCTTTCTTCAGTGAGCCAAAGCAAGCTACAAGTCTTGCTACACATCAATGAGGAAACATTTTCATCCTCTCCCATTCAGGCCAGTAAAGGACAGACTCAGATACAGAACATCACATCTCTGTAATACATTAGGTTCTTCAGTTAATAAAACACCAAATTCAACTAAAAAAAAAAGAGATAGTGAAAAGACTTTGGCTTATTGCCATTAAATGGTCTACACACAACATTACCAAGCCTTGTGAATTAAGCATATGAGGATTTCAGCTACTTTTATCTGCAAATCTCTCTCTTCTCTCTTGCATTGAAGTTTAAAAGTACAATATGATTTGTATATACATACATGTATTTCCAAGGGTTTAGCCAGATATCAGTGCTTGAGTGAACTATATAGCTATTCAATAGAAACTATAAAACATTGATACAAATATAAAGACATAATCAATATAAAAAGCTTATATTTATAAAAAATATTTTTAGGTAACAGTCTTCCCCTGAGGGTATACCACATAGTTGGATTCATAAATATTGCTCTGCACTGCAGCTTGGTTACCGAAGTTCAAATTTCAGCTCTTAAATGAAGTGTAAATCGCTCCAGTCACCTGACGTGGCTGCAATGGTTGCCTCAGGATTATGTTCCCTAGCTTGTTGGAGTGATAAAGACACAGCATCAACGGGGTCTCCGAAAAATCTGGAGAAGATTCCTTCTTCCACATATGGAAGATACGAGAGCAGGACCTATAGGCTAGCAATGACTGGGCTTTAGTTTTCATGGGCAGTTCACTGATTTTTCTGGACCCAGTCCCAACTATCTTCATTCTCCTTCCTGCTCTTTTCGGCCTCAATAATTTCTTTGTACCTCCGGCGGAAGAAGCCCATCTGCAAATCAAGAAGAGATGACAGTGGTAAGTAACAGCATCGTTACATTGAAACTTACTTTGTCAGAAAACAGTGAGCAGGGAAAAGAACAGCACAGGTGTTAATATCTAATTTCTCCTATTGCCGATCTGGAATCAGAGCTCCTTGTTTACCAGATCAACCCAGGTCCCAGATCTTCCCAAGGACTCTGCTCCTTACAGATGAAATACTCTGAGGGAAGAGCCCACTTACAGGAAGTATGTTTTTAAAACAAATGCACACAAAGTGTTTCTAATAAACACACACCAGAAGAGGCAGATACGGGTTTATTGGTTTCAAATAAAGACTAATGCAAAACTGGGATCTGAACCTAAAGCCAGCCTAGAGCTTGAGTCCTGTGTAAATGCAGTCCCATCGCTACCAGCTGTGTAATCTGCAGCTCAGAAGGCAAAATACAAGCCTGATCCTAGAAAATGCATGCATCAACCATAACTCCTCCACAAGCCTTAAAGATGCTGTGGGGCTGATAATCACTTTTGCATGTCTTTTTGTTTCTTAAACCCTTGTACTTAGTTATAGAAATGCAAGCAGTTTTCATTCCAGTTTGGATAAAATAATTCTCATATTGCTGTTTTCTTAAGTCTTCCAAGTAAACAAAAATGATTTTAATAACAGACTTTGGTAAGCATTCAAGAATAACTCCTCCAACTTAGCAGTGCACTATTGAGACCACTGAATCAATATTTTGTTCATCACAATTAAACATTTATGTAACTCCTACCACTCTAAACCTGTTTTCTTATTCCTGCTGGGTAAAGCATGATGCCTTATTCTTCCTTTATCAACCAGTTATTATTATCCTTTATTCCCAAATTGGCTATATGCAGGAATATTTTGTCACAACTAAGTTGGGCTTTTTAGTTTCAGTTCTTTAACAAGTTCAGTTTTCTTCAAGGATGTTTTAACTCACAGGGGTCTGAAAGGCAGCTTGTTCAACCTGCTGAGGGCACTTTCCTAAATCCCAGGTCCTTGCCAGTGCTCCCAGCTACGTCCTGAATTCACTCCATCATGATACCAGGCACAGACCATCCTCTCACCACCAAAGGATACAGAAGCTGCAACATGGTCTAACAAAACATGTTGGTTTGGATGACTGTGGACCACATCTCTGGGGCATGCTATTAATCTAGAGACAGATGTACCTTCCTGAGTGCACAGATGTACATCACACACACACTCAACCGCTTTATAAATACACAGTACGTAGACATACACATAAATGACAACCATCCCAACTTTATAGAGGTCCCATGACCTTCTGGATGCCCTCAAATAGCTGGAACTAGACCTTAAAAACCATTTGTTCACATTTTTGTGCACAGACTACGGACATTGTCTCTTTCCCATCTATCATAAGCAAAGCTTTATCTGATGCTCAATGCATGGATAATGGTGCTTCTGTTCTAAGAAACTACCTCACAAAAGGGACACTGTTGAATTTTGGAGAGCCACATCTCCCTTGCTTCCTAGCATTTCTGATCAATGTATGCAAGGATTCAGAAGGGAAGAATTAATGAAGAGTATCCCTATTCTTCAAACTTGCTCTAGAATTCAGATCAAGTTCTTTCTTTAGTGGAAAAATATCTTTAGCAGTAATTTCCATACTTATACCTGGAAGCTATAGAAGTGCAAAGGATATATTTAGAGAAGATATCCTCGAGATAGCACTACCGTAAAATCCCAGTGAAATTTCACCATTGATGCCAACATACTTCTGCTCGATGGAGACTTGAAGCCAATAGGTAAAGTTTCCCATTATTTTCACAGCCCAAAATTAAGTTAAATTATTTTATTGATAATAGGCAAAAAAAAGTGTAAAAACCCATTACTTCTCCATTACTACTCCTCTGGTTTTCTACCCCAGTAGAATTAATTGAAGGTACTTATTTCAGTCTTTTAGTCACAGGAGTCTGCAGCTATTCTTACATATGGTTAGGGAGCAGATGTGTTGAAGAAGTGGGTGCCATTTTTATGTTATCAGTTTTTACAACAGACTTACATGTTCTGCATGTTAGAAAAAGAAAATTGCCACAGGACTTTGTTTCCCAAGATTAACAGGAGAAGTTCAATTTGTAGCTTTTAAAAACAGGTTTTAAACCCTTAAGGTCTCCATCCTTCATACAGCCACATCCTTGGTACAATAAAATCCTCTCTTGAAGTTATAATCAAAATTATAGAAAGGCTTTTTAATTTCCTCGAGGGCCAAGCAAATGAAAGCAAACTCCTTCCAACTGTTATTTTAATAAAAATTGTCTGTTTGTGAACATCTGCTTCAGGAATTCTTTTTAAAAGTTGGGTATGATAGTTTTAGTATTTTACTATTTTGTTACTGAATACAGCATGCTTTTGTATAACTTTCTAGTAGGGCAGAAAAGTGAGCTGAAGACTATAATAAATGTTAATGGAACGTGAAATCCTACACCTAGAAGCAATTCCACTACGAAGCTATAAATGTTTACATGCTGTAAGTGATGTGCATAATCTATAACTATGTAGAGGACTTAATTTGAGTGCAAGCAAAAAGATAAACTGGACTTTAAGGATATTTATATTTCGTTTTTTACATTTTTTAAAGTAGTGGTCAGGGATTAGATATATTTCCTACCCCTTAAAGGCAAGAATATGCTTTGTTATGGGGTACCATTCCTTACTGTTCACACCATATATATCTGCTTAACATGGTAGAGTCCCTATCATCACCAGAAAGGGTTTTTTTTTTTTTTTGTAATGGCCATGAAGAAATCACAACATAGTTGTTGTCTCACAAGGGAGAACACAACCCACATAACCACCTCCTTAGAATAAACTGATTTCATTAAAAATGACAGCAATATTAACCCATATGGTAAGGGATGCTAAGTGCCTGTGGCAACCTGGAGAGAACAAGTGAATTTAACATGCAGCAAGGAGATACAGGGGTAATAAGGAGGAAGACACTTGACCAAAGCAGGAGAACTGATGAAACATGGAGCTAAGTATATGCTGTTTCTTTTGTCACTGGGGCAGAAGTGACACCAGAAAATGTCTTTTCTGTGACTAATGCAAAGCCCTTAAGGAACCTCAGAAAGCCCAGTAAGGACAGCACTACAGGGACTCAGTGCTGGATTTCAAGCAGGGAGATGAGATCAGCTTTAACAGGAGTATTGCAGTGATGTCATTTGTGGAATGGGTGTTTACAGTAGGCCAGTGGTCTCCAACCTATGTTTGTGGGCAATGAGTCTCTAATATTACTCAATTGCTTTCCATATACACAGGGATACATGTCTGTACACATACTGTACAGAGGAAAAGCAACAGGAGCACATACAGGAAGCAAGGAGAGAGTACCTTGAGAAGCTGAATAGTTATCATGGAAGAAGGCATCAGCCACCAAAGACAATGGAGGAGATGAGAGAAGCAAACTACAGTCAGCATTTCAGAGTGGTGTGAGAATTATTTGAGAAGGCTGAGGAGACCTTCTTGAGTTATGGGCCTTTTGGATCACTGTGGTTAAAAGAAAGAACACTGCTCAGCATGCACCGTGCTTTACTCTTAACCCTGGCAGACCTTACCAGGGGGGAGCTCCTATGCCAAAGGTGCCATATCCTACTTTGTTTCTTCTGTAGGTACAGAGGAAACAAAGAGGAGAAAGTGGGCCATTAAAGACTTTGAGAATATAGGGACAGTCTCAAAATCCTGGGGCTATCAACGTCACTCACAATGAATTCATGACCTATGCCAGGGAATGGAGAGAGCATCTGAACTGCCTGTGAATCCACACATTGTCATGTTTCACATCTGCCATGATAAACTGCAAAGATTATCTTGCTTTTAAACAAATACTAATAAAAAATTATCAGACAGAAAGAAACACAACGGAAAGAAAAAGTTGGCCTGGTCTTTACCAGAAGTGATAAAAAATAATGTCCTTCCTGGTAAGTATTATTGCTGCTATAAATAGGTAGTTTAGATGCAAAACCTGAAACCATCCGTAGGTTTTACACACATTCTTTAATTTAGTTATTCTAGCCCGTGCACCCTTTTCTAGCATACCCTTACTGCCATCTACAGCATAGGCTGAGCAGAAAGCATGTTCCTGCCAAAACTGAACAAAGCAACAGAAAATCTGTGTTACTCGTAGGCTGGGGAATTACACCTGTTATTGTGAAGTTACTTCTTGCCATGTGACAGCACCGTCATGTCTTCAATCCTGAGTACTTAAAGTATCTTTCACTCTTTAGCTGTCCGGCCAGATTTAAATCCCTTAAAAATCACAGATAAATCATAACTAGACAACAGTCACATAAAACTGCATTCTTCAAGCACTCACACAAATGGAAAGCTTCAGTCAAAGTGATTTCAAAATGTTGAATTAGCATCACAAAACCTATTGTCTTTTCTTTTTCTTGCTGCTGTTTTCTACACATCCGAACACCGATCACTGAACTACTGGACTTGATATTTTCCTAAACTCCCAAAGCATAAACATTTGTCCAGCATTTCCTGCAGTACCACCCCGTCTCTCTCTCTCTGGGGTGCCAATTAGAAGTATGTTTGAAGAGTGATGATACTACAGTCTGCACTTGGGAAAAAAACAAAGCTGACCAGAGGGCAAGCAATATCACTGCCCTTGTTATATTCACTGTTGGGTAAATGTCTAAAGCATTTTTATCATACCCATTGTGGCTTATTTTCCCAATCAAATAAAAAGAGAAACAGTTTGAAATGCAAACTGTAGAAGAATAGTTATATTTTTGTTGGGTGTTTTTTTTCCAAGTCTTTTTCCCATTAACTTCATCTATTAAGAAGCAAGAAAAAATTCTAACAGTTGTACACCATTGTAAAACAATCATTATGTCGATTTACAGTAGTGTTTTGAAACTATAACTGAGCTAGGAATAGAGGTTTGTGAATAACAATGTTCAAACAGAATCCAAAAAATATATCAGAGACTTTTGCCATGTTTTGCACAATATTTTGAT